CTGTCAGGTCTATTCCAGTATAGACCTTCAACTCTGTCAAGTTTACCTCAATGTAGACCACTATGATTGGCTACAGAGCATGTGGGTTCCAGACCCATTTCCCTTGATGTATCAAGGATAGCTTTTCTATTTAGGCCCTTCGTGAAAGGATCTGCAACATTCCTTTCAGACTTCACAAAAACCATTGTGATTACCCCATTTATTATCAACTGTCGTACAGACTCATGTCTGACTCTTATGTGCACTGTTTTCCCATTGTAGACACTGTTTTGCGCAACACAGATGGCAGTCTGGGAATCACAATGTATGGGAACAGCAGGTGCAGGGCACCCCCACAATGGCACGTCTGCCAAAAGATTTCTCAGCCATTCGGCTTCCTGACTTGCTAGATCTAGTGCTATGAACTCTGATTCCATAGTTGATCTAGCTATACAGGATTGTTTGGTTGACTTCCATGATATCGCGACTCCACACATAGTGAACACGTATCCACTAGTCGAGCTTACATCATCAGCGTCATTTACCCAGTTTGCATCACAGAACCCTTCGAGCACAGCTGGGTTGCCCTTATAGTTAAGGCCCCAGTCTAACGTGCCTATTAGATACCGAAGTACCCTTCTCAGTGCATCCCAGTGTGAGATACCAGGGTTGTGAGTATACCGACTGAGTTTATTCACAGCAAATGCAAGATCTGGTTTAGTATAGTTCATCAAGAACATTAGACTCCCAATTATCTTTGCATATTCTTCTTGAGACACACTGGCCTCTATGCTCTTTGATAATTTGATGCTGGGATCATAGGGGGTTTTCGCCGGAGTTACATCATAACTCTCAAACCTCTTCAGGAGTTTCTCCGAGTAATGACTTTGGGATAAAAGGTAACCTTTCTCCGTTTTTGTAACCTTTATCCCGAGTATTACATCAGCCTCCCCAAGATCCTTCATATCGAACTTGTCACACAGAGTTCTTTTAGTCTCTTTTATAGCTCCTATACTTGAGCTAAAGATAAGCATGTCATCTACATAGAGACAGATAATTACTATGCTAGACTCTACCTCTTTTGTGTATAAGCAGGCATCTGAGCGGTTAGTGGAATAACCTAGCTCTAACAAAGTTTTATGAAACTTTTCATACCACTGCTTAGGGGCTTGTTTCAAGCTATAAAGGGATCTTTTAAGTCTGCATACCTTTCCTTCTTGTCCTGGATCAACACATCCGGGGGGGTTGTTCCATGTAGATCTCCTCTTCTAGTTCACCATTGAGAAAAGCTGTTTTTACATCCATTTGATGTACTATCAACCTGTGTAAAGATGCTAAAGCAAACAGAACACGTATGGCAGCTATCTTTGTTACTGGTGAATGGGTATAGAAGTAATCCTCACCGAATTTCTGTGTGAAACCTTTAGCTACCAGCCTGACTTTAAATCTTTCAATTGAACCATCTGGTCTCAATTTCCTCTTGAAGATCCATTTACAGCCTATGGGTTTACAACCCTTAGGCAAATCCACTATTTCCCACGTATGATTAGACTGTATGGAGTGTAACTCACTTTTGACTGCTTCTCTCCATAGAGTAGCGTCTACAGATCGCATAGCTTCTTGAATGAATTTTGGTTCTTCTTCTAACACAAGTTGACATATAAAATGATCACACAGTTCATTTAGATCTTTCAATTCAGTCATATATGTTATGAAGTCAGAGCCAAAGTTTTTCTCAATTCTAGGCCTTTTACTTCTTCTAGGCTCTTCTGAATTATATGAGAAATCAGGGAAAGAAAGATTATGTTGAACTTTATTCGCATCTAGTTCAAGAGCACCCTTTAAGGGAAACACGTGTTCAAAGAAAACTGCATCTCTATATTCACATATTGTACGGTTTTCTAAACACATAAATCTATAAGCTGCACTATTTTCAGCATACCCAACAAAAACGGCATCTAAGGTTTTAGGTCCCAAGTTGAGCCTTTTAAAGGACAGGAGTCCCACCTTTTCCAAGCACCCCCACACTTTAAAGTATTTAAGATTGGACGCATGTCCTTTCCACAGTTCATAAGGAGTTTTTTCAAACCCTTTGTGCAAGACCTGGTTTAGAATGTGGTTAGCTGTTAGAACAGTTTCCCCCCACAATGAATCAGAAGCACCTGAACTGATTAGCATGGCGTTTATCATCTCTTTGAGAGTTCTATTTTTTCTTTCTGCTATGCCATTTTGTTGGGGTGTGTAGGGTGCAGTTACTTCGTGTATAATGCCGGAAGATTCACACAGATCTTTCAGGAAATTTGATTCATACTCTCCTCCTCTATCGGATCTAAGCCTTTTGATCCTTTTTTCCAACTGATTTTCTACTTCATTTTTAAAAACAACAAACTTTTGTTCGGCTTCACTTTTTGTTCTCAACAAGTATAATTTCGTATAATGGGAAAAATCATCAATAAACGTTATATAGTAACGCTTACCACCTCGACTTTCAGTGGTTTTAAAGTCTGCTAAATTAGTGTGAACCAATTCTAGCAATGATGAAGTACGATGCTTTACAGTTAAAAAGGATGTTCTAGCAAATTTTGCCTCAGCGCATGTTTCACATTGTTCACATGTGTCATTAGACAGGTTTTGGTAGCATATTCATGTTTTTCAGTCTATTTAAACATTTTGCACCAACATGTCCTAATCTAGCATGCCAAACATTAACTGATATAGCAGTATAAACAAAGGAAACATTCTTATTATCACGAGTAGTCAAAGAAGATCCAGATACATCAGAGTGATTGTTAACTATAGAGACATCTAGTACAAAAAGACCTCCACGCAGATATCCCTTCCCAATGAACTTCTCACAACGAGTCATAACCAGACGGTCAGACTCAAAAACCATCTTAATTCCAGCCTTATTTAAAAGGCCTCCGGAAATGAGGTTTCTTCGAAGGGAAGGGACATAGAGCACATTTTGCAACAGTAAATGTTTTCCAGAACAAAGCAGTAATTCTGCTTTTGCAGATTTGTATTCAGAAAACATATCAAACAACGGGTCACTTATGTAACACCCCGAAATTTTTCAACTTTTAAGACTTATATAATGAAGGTAAGTTCTCATTGAATCCCAAAACATAATATAAAGAGTACGGGGTGTTATGCCACACCTGAGCTAGAGAACTCAGGTGCACAGGCTAACTAACTAATATCCTCAATAATGTAAATGCATAAGTGTGGCACGCAGGCCGAAAAGGAAACTATCTACTTCTACGCTCCAAGACTCTAGCGCGCTCCAGTGACTACTCCTCTGTGTCTGAAAGCCAAATATATCTGTTCAGCGAGAGATGCTGGTAACCCACTCCAACGCGTTGAAATACAATACATATAGGCATATATATAGATATAAGAAAAACCATTTCGACGCATGAAGATATATCCTAAGAGACTCTAGCTTTTAAAACAGGGAATAGGCTCGACAGATAGGGATAAGCACAGTCAACAGTCATATAATTCACAAGCATAGGGAACAGACTCGACAGATGGAGATAAGCACAGCCAATACTCATAACCAAGCATATACGGTTTACTAGCATGTATCATATGGTCACACTTTCATAACATTCGTAATCATCAAACCATCCATATCTCATCACATAGCACACTTTGTTGGCGCCACAGGACCAATCGCATGCCCATACATGAGGGTCAGCGCATATAGCTCTGACACGGCCCCGCAGCACCCTGCCCCGTATCGCAACACGGAGGGGTCGATCGCAACCGACCGATGAACCGCAACTCATCATAATGTTTGATCGCAACCAAACAGTGGACCGCATCCCAAGAGTAGTCATTTGACCGCAACCAGGAATATGAACCGCAGCTCATGTAAAATGTTTGATCGCAACCAAACGGTGGATCGCAGCCCGAGAGTGTAAATTTGACCGCAGCCAGCTTCTGAACCGCAACTCAGGAATAACCAATTTGATCGCAACCAAATTGGGGTATCATGCACACATAACACATAGCAAACACATGCAACCCACATTGACACATTGGGAAGGGGGAGAAATCGTATAACGAAACCTATGCGTGATCATCCACATACTAAGAATAATCCTAAGGGGTTCATACTTCTTACACCTAGGTCAACGGGATACCAATTCAACTAGCATGTAATATATAAGACTCATTCATCCTACGAATGGTACCCGAACATCAAACTAGACATAGGCACGATAGACGGAGTCCGTTGGGACACCACGGGGGTCGGGGGAATAACAAACGGGGAAGCCGGGATCCCGAAGTGGGACAATTTCTAGCGGGTAGCCGGTGGGTGAGGGGTCACCCGCCGGTGGCAAACTTCCGGGCAGCGGGTGCCCGGCAGGCAGTCGCCTGCCTGCCGGCGACGTCCATCCTGGCCGCGGGTAGGTGGCAGGTCCCCTACCCCCACCTACCCCCCACTGACTCTTTTTCACCAATAACGCCCCGGAAACCTTTGTGGAACCCGAAACCATGCTTAGACACTTTAAAACGCAAGTGATGGCAACACGTAGACAATTAACGGATCAAAAGCGAGAAACATACGGCACATATCCTATCATGCTTTCTAAACATAATTAACACCCCAACCATGCGAATTCCCACCCAATACATTAAGAATAACATCATACGAGTTCCACGTTACATCCTAGGGCTCTAATCACAATTAAATCATCAAGAATGTAACCCATCTTTTAATATCAAGAAATATCAAGATTCATCAAGAACATCACACAATCATCAAGAAACCCTTATCATCATCAAGAATATAAAGATAAAACCATATCACCAATTATCAAGATCACATCATCGATATCATAACAATTCATCAAGACACAAGAATATAGGAGGATGCCTAAGAGGGAGATCATAACTAGGAAAATAGGTTTTGTTGAGACATGGGTTACCTCTTAGCCTTAATTAATTTCCTTGGCTATGAAGGATCTTTCTTTAAGTCTTTCTTCTTTCTTGATTTCTCCTAGGGGAATTCTTGGAGCTCCTTGTGTGGTGAGTGATTATTGTGGTGGGGGTTCTAGGTGCCTCCTATGTCCCCTATTTATATATTTAAGAGTCCTAATTAGGGCCCAAATACTATAGGCTTGCTAACTCTATTCCTTTTAGGACTAGAGGTTGGGTTTAGAGATGAGGGCCCACGGACTATGGTGGGCTTTTTCCTAATTAATTGTTGTAATTTAATTCTTTCTTTGAATAATTGGTTAAATGATTAATTAGTTTTAGGGGTCGTAACACGGGGTGTTACAACTTACACGTTGAAGAATGGTTGTCCGGGCAGTCTTGTTATCTTTCTCGTATTTGATGCGAGTTGCCTCGGCTGCTGATGTATCTTGCGCTGATGATGACTTTGGGTCCTTGGAAGCATCTGTAGACTTCGGGTCAGTCGCAGCAGTTGAAGCCGTGGTCTGCAGTGCAAGCTGTGTAGTAGCCACATTGAATGTCGCTGGGTCTGCAAAAAGGACATAGTCCACATCCTTTGATTCCAGAAGCATGATTAATTTTGCAGCCCATCTCTTGTAGTTTAAACCACCAGTGAGTGGTTGAATATGAGTAATATCAGACATAGTGTTTGGTATTCCTGACATTTGTGACTCGACTTGGTATATAAATGTTTTTAACTGTTGAGTTTTTCTGCACTGTGGACGTAAGGTTTGGAACGAAAAAGGAAAACCAAGGTTCTGTATCGTGTGCAACACACTACCTTAAAAACATTTACGACCAGGGATTGAGTCGCATACTTTCGACAGGCACAACAGAACAAACTCGCAGGCAATAAAATACACAGGCTGACAGAAGGATTTCAAAAGCAGTAGCAGTAGCGTCTGTACTGTTTCTTGTGTCCCTTTAGCAATACTGACAGCAGGTATTTATAGTATAATGTAGCAAAAGTGTAGCAACATCCCACCTCTCACTACCCACCTTTGTAGCGCTATAACATAGCAGTAGACTAACTTTGCACACTCCTTCATGGAGTTGTGCGGACAAGGTTATTAAAAGATCCACAAAAATAGGGTAAGAAAGAAGTGTCGGGAGCAAAACATTGACCCCACCACACCGCGCGTCGTGACGAGCTGGACGGACGACGGCGGCGGCGCGCGCGAAGTTTACCTCCTTTCCCTTCTCAGAACACTTCAAACTAACTTAAAAGCCTTGGAGTATATAAGAAGGGAAATAAGAGGCTATTCTACCAATGTGGGACAACATGGTTAGGCAAAAAGAAGCCTTTCCCTTTAAAAGTTCCCAACAGTTTGTATGCATCCTATGGAGCTAGGCCACCTCCTAGGGTCGTGTTAAGCAAGTGATCTAGGTTAAAGATTGCTAGATCACTTGAAGTTTCTATCCATGACATTTCCTAGCCTATGGATCCGAGAGGACTAGGTTTGGGGAAGTAGTGTAGGCAACATGTTCGAGGAAAGGTCATAGAGACTTTAAGAGCCCAAAGGGGATTTCTATTGTCTACTAAGACGAGTCCTAGTAGTTGAAGAACGAAAGGATAAAAGCAACTCCTAAGATGATTGCATATGCAACATTCTCCCTAATGCAAAAGATCCAAATAGCATCATAAGCGAAACTAGCAATTCAACCCTATTCATTTCATTTGTTAGTTAAATTGTTTGTTATTTGATTGTTGTTTACTCTTTGCTACAACTTGAACTAAAAATGACACTTGCTCAATCACACACACACCTCTTTCTCGAGGTTGCTATCGTTTGGTGACTCCAATTTGTCATCCCTAGAAAACGATAAAAATCCAGGATTCATCCCACATCTTTGACGCATGAGTTGGTTTTCGAAATACTAAGCGAAAGCCGAGTTTGTCAAAAATGTTCCCGAACACTTCTTTATTCCAGCGAATGCTATCTTTAGTGACGATAGCGATAATGGACTCAATGTTCTGAGCACCATGAGAAGCAGCATTTTTCCAAAATTTTTCGTAGTCGAGTTTTGTTAACCACGCAGCTTCTAAACGAACCGGACGGAGGTGTAGTTTCGGTGGCTGACCTACTTGTTCGATGAACATCAGGGGGCTGTGATCGGAGTGAAGCCTGGGGAAAACCCTAACTTTACCTTCAGGGAAGGTCTGTTGAGCCGAAATATTCCATAACACCCTGTCAAGCCTCCGCATTTAGGTAATTCTGTTCCCTGCAAAACCGGTACCAAGTGAAATTTGAGCCTGAGTAGCCTGGGTCGATGAGCCCACAACGATTGTAAGCATCCACAAATCTTTGAAGGCCAGTAGCGATGACCGATTCACTCCCCCATTGCTCGCCTACCGCTGCAATATCGTTAAGATCGCCCATGACAATCCAGGGGCATTGTAACGAACTACCAAAAGCCTTACAGTCCTCCCAGAATCTGCACTTAGCCAGCATGTTAGGTCTAACATAGCTAAAAGAAATGAGAACATCATCTGGCCTTTGCTTAATTTTAGCATGAATGGCTTGGGATGTCGAACTAACTATCTCAAGGTTGATATGACCCTGTTTTCAAACTAATAAAAGTCGACCAGCAAACCCAAGAGGGTTGACAATAAAATGATTGTTATAGCCCAAAGTGCAAGCTAACTTAATCATGTTATCAGCCTTAGGGGACCGAATCTCCAGGAGACAAAGAACATCCGTTTTGGTCGTAGTCAGGAGTTCCTTGACATGCCTCCTGACCTGCCTGTTGGCAATGCCCCTACAGTTCCATGAGATGACCTTCATTTAGAAGGTTTAGATGGCGGGGAAGTTGGGAAACCGCCTTCCCCAGGCGTGAGACACAAGGTGGCGATCTCACCCATTAATGGAGTGGACCCCACAGTCCCGACAATCGAGGAGGTTGAGGGTCCGCCAAACTAGAATGCAGGAACGTGAACAGCTTGGGTAAAGTAGGCCTCCGGGTTCCATGTATCCGGAACAGCCATATTGGACATCCCCCTCCCCCCCCCCCCGCCTCCCGCCCATGTTCCACCACACCCCCTGGGGTTACCATTGGTGGTAGTCTGGGGAACCGTGGTAGACGCAAATGGGTCCTGGCCTTGCGGATCAACATGGGGAGGAGAAGGTTGAGGTTGGGAATGGGGTTGAGGCTAAAGGGCAGGCGACTTACCTTTGGATCTCTGACCCCAAACCTTAGCTGGCGTTCCTGAAGATGCCGCCAGGTGGTCCTCCTCGTTCTGTTCACCAACGTTGGCCAATGATGCAAACTAGTTATCATTCAGGCGAGCCGACCCACGAGATTGGGCGTTCTGTCTGTTTGTTGTCTTATGACCTTGAACTTTGTTTTTCTTTGTCACGATCGTTTGAGGCCCATAGCGAGGGTTGGCAGTAGGATGTGTCAGCTGTGGAGTAGGGCTGGGAGTTGTTTGCTGAATATCTCCTTCTTGTTTAGCTATAGGAGTTTCATTTAAATCCATCTCATGATTTGCCGGTTGTTTTTCTTTGTTGTGCGGGCATGTTTGTTCGCTGTGGGCTATCATCCCACATGTGAAGCAGACCACATGCAAACTCTCGTGCTCAATTGTTTGAACCTGATCTTCCACCCACAGTTCATTCACCAACGGTTTGTCAAGATCAACTTCTACTGCTGCACGGGCATAGCGACCCTTGACCATTGCTATCGTAGTCCGATCAAGTCTTAGCTTAGCCGCTTGCCTAGACCTTCGAGGATATTTTTTATAATATCGTCTCTAAAATACTCCACCGCAAGTCGTAGTAATCGAACCCAAACTGCCATCTTTGAGATCTTCGCCATAGCAGGATCAAATTTCGGTTCCCACCTTTGGATTACTAGGTAATTATCAAAGATCTTCCATGGTCCATCTAGAATTCCTTACAAATAGTCGGTGCGGTGTTGAATCTCGCCACGAAGCAACATTGTTGGCAAAGTTCCTTCCTCACATGCATGGGGATTTGAACTCTTGGCTGACCATCTGTCGGGGCTTGTTCGTCCACCACCACATCGGGATCGATTACCGGATCAGTGAAAGCCCATTCGGTAGCTTCCGTGCACAGAGGGTCTCCGCCATTGAAGGGAGACTGGGAAGCAACAGTGTCTGCAAACGTACACTTGGTCGATCGAGATTTCTTGTTCGTGTGCTCTAACGACTCGGATTCCATCATCACCTCTTCTGGCGGAGGCTCAGGCGCCTCAGCCGGCATCGTCATGGTCCGACGCCCACTATCGGCCGCCGGTAACGGCTAGGGCTAGGCTGGGAAACTGCCTAAAATAGCAGAAGAGTTCGAAGGAAATAATCGCCCTGATTAGAGAGCGTTTTCGCTTTCAATTTCCAGACGGGGTGATCTAATTATGTTAATATTATTATGGTATCTCACGGTTAAAATATTGCGTAATGTAGCAAATAATTCGTAATATTTACCTTAAGTATAATTTATCAATTTAATCAATTCTAATTTGATAAAGATTATTTTCTAACCAAACAATTGGTAATATTTATGATTTATTGACCCAATCCACATATGCTTTTTCCCGCCCAAACTCATTTTAATAGTCAAATTAATAATAAATTTTAGAGTTAATTCCAGCATTATTCCTCCGAATATCATGATTTTTCACAATTGGTCCTCGACTTTCAATTTGGACAATTTAGACACTTGACTATCAAAATGTTTATAATATTGGTCCTTCCGTCATAATGTCGTTAAGTAGACGTTTAATAGAGGGGTAAAATCGTACTTTCAATTGTTGAGAGTATAATTCCTTGTTATTCCTCCTCTACGTATTTGTATACACAAAATAAATTAAAATCTCAAAACTCTATATGCCACATATATCAAAATCTCCATATCTCTTTCAGATCAGCTGCGGCGAGCGGAAGCGGTAGATGGAAGAGAAGGGCATCGCGTCCTGCGGAGCTTCGGGAAGTTCGTCAAGAGGATTTGGCTGCCGGAGAATGCTAAGGTGGATCAAGTGAAGGCTAGCATGGACAACGGCGTTCTGACTGTCACAGTTCCAAAGGAGGAGGAGAAGCAGTTTGTGGCTCTAGCTCGAAGAAGGTGTTGATTGTTGACGAGGATGCCTTTTGCCTGTCGGAGTCGTTTGGCAACGTCCAGGAACATGGTTGAGCCGCCTGTTTAAAGCAATGCAACCGCCAACAATAACTTAGCCGGAAAGGGTTTGGAATAAGTGGAGATGCTCAGATCTGGGTCGGAATCCTTAAACTCCGTGACATCCACATCATGGTCGTCTCTAAGGCTCTGGAGATGGAAGTGAAGGCCGAGCATAGCCGCACCGGAAGTGTAGAACACATAGGTGGGGAGGCCCAACTCGTCAGCCACATCCATTATGGCGGTACAGAACATGTGTAACACCCCGTGTTACGGCATTCAAACCCGGGATTAATTGTTGAATTAATCCCGTTAATAATAATTAAAAAGGATTTAATTTGGTTAGGATCCCATTTAATTAATTAATGTGGTCCACCATGTATCGTGGACCCTTGCCTAAACTAGAGTCTTAAGCCTACTAGGGATAAAGGAAGTGGGCATTTACCATTCAGATTCTAATTAGGATTCCTAGTTCTATAAATAGGGCATTAGAAAGCATTTAGAATCCTTTTCCCCTCTCATAGTCCTAATACACGAATTTTCCAAGAAACCTAGCCAGGGAATTTCCCATCACCAAGCCTAGGGAGATCAATCGGAGGAAAATCTTTGAGAAGAACCTTAGTAGCCAAGGAAGGATTAATTAAGGCTAAGAGGTAACCCATGTCTTACAAAACCTATTTTCCTTGCTATTGATTATTGATTGGCTCCGATTGAATGATTGATTGTGTGATTTTGTATGTATATCTTGTTAGAGCTTGTCTTTAGGTTTATATGGTGAATTATTGTTATTCTTGATGGCCCTGTGTGGTTATTAATATGATCTTGTATTTAATTATGTCTTGAGCTTGTTCCTAGGGTTTATATCGTGAATCTCGTGTTGTGATGTTCTTGGAGTTCTTGGGTGGGTTTATATATGCTCGGGTGTTGAGTCTAGCCTGAGACTTGTCTTTAGGGCCTTGCATATAGATTTATTGATGTTCTTGAGGTTCCGGACGCTCCTGAACCATTATGTGATTAATGTCGAGTCTTGGCATGTTTAAGAATCGTGTTAGAATGTAATTGGAATGATTCTTGGTTCAATCTTTGTTAATCGAATCTGTGTTGTTGTTGATACGTGTTGGAATGCGTTTGGACATGGTTTTGGGTTCCACGAACGAACACCAAACCAAATATTACCTTCATACCAGTGGGGGGTAGGTGGGGGGAGCGAACCCCCGCCACCTACCCGCGGCAAGAGCTGCCCGATTCCTGCGGACAGACTGCCCGCCGGGCACCCGCTGGAATGTGACCACCCACCGGTGGGTGGTCCTCCACCCGTCGCCCACTCGATGGAACGAGATGGTGCGGCTGGTCGTTTTCCCTCGTTTGTTGTTTCCCCGTGTCCCGTTATGCCCCGTTGTACTCCATTCGATTTTTATGAGTCTCGTATGATGTTTTGAGTACCGTTCTAGGAATTTATGTGTAGTGTGTATCGTTGCTATTATACATTGATTATTATTGTTGATTATATGTTGTTTGATTGAATGATGATGGATATTGTGATCATTGCGCAATGATGGTTGAGATTGATGATAATGAGATTGTGATTGGTGGAAATGAATTGTTGGCGGATAGCACAACGAGTGCTCGGTTATCGTGCTAAAGGCACGGACCACCCCTTAAACTTGCTGGCTAAAGGCTTGTGTCAGGATGTGGCATAACACCCTGGTACTTACGTTGTTAGTTCCGCTTTGTTTGGATGATTAATGATACTTTGTCTTTATTTCATAGGCTTTAACATATTTTAAAAATTAGGGGTGTTACAACATGTCCACAACAAACCCAGCTAGCCTCGAATCCTTCATCCCCTTAATGCAATTCCTGACTTTAGGTTTATGAGATTCAACTAATAAACGGAAGAAGAGATTTCAAAAAAAAAAACGGAAGAAGACCGTCTTGTTGGGGTGCTCCTTCAAATGCTCAGGAGGATCTATTGCCAGTGGTATCAACTTCAACGTGGAACTCTCGTCATCGGCAACGGCAAGTAGAGATTCGATGTAAGAATTAACTTTGGAATCAAACGGCAACTTTATGATGAAAACTATAATAGAGAGGAGGGGTGAGTTGGGTTAAATCTTCCTTGACCGGACCGCAATTGCCAATCCGGGCGAGGACCGACGAGTCGCCCTTAGTGGCCCCGGCCGGGGGGCTCGGGCTGCGTTGTTCTCTTCGGCGCTTCAGCGCGCCACTCTCCGCGACCCCCTTCTCGGACACTTTTTCTTTGCCTTTGGGGGCAGTCACCCGAGTGACAAGAACGTCTGAGGCGTCGACCACATAGCCTTCGGCTGTGGTGACGGTTGCTGCTGCGCCTTTTGGCCGCGCGGTCGGGATTTGTTCTTTCCCGACTGGCTTGGACTTGGGTTTCTTCTTCCCCAGCACGATCTTGGCTATGGGGGCTTGGGGCGCCTCGTCTTCATCAAAGCCGGCCATTTCTGCAAACAAATAAGAAAAGGCGGTTAGATCGGGAATATGGGGGGATCGGGAAGTTTGGGTCGGGGACGATTGGTTAATGCTAGACCTTCATCTGCTGTTTCGACCCGAACGGCCTCCCTTGCAATTGTAACCCCCATTGGTTTGGGCACGTACTTCTCGGGCAGGTCGTACTGCGGCGGGGGCAATCGGGCTTCCTCGTAACGCTCGGCCGTGCAGAAGATCCTATATTCGTAGACCTCACTCGAGATCTTGGCAACGACGTCCCGGAGAGCTTGAGTCTCGACCGGCGTCACTTGTTTTCTGTAGTGGGTGCTCCACACCCTCTCAACCGGGAGTATCCAAGGGTCATACTTGACCGAAAAAATCCTATTTTCCCACCCCCGGTTGTTCTCGGGCAAGTTGTCGATCGAGCATAAATCTGCCCGGGAAGATGAAGTTGAAGAGCTCCATCGTGCAGGCCACTTCGTGCCGGGCGCAAATCTGGGGGAAGCAGGCGATAATCCTGTGGGCGTTCGGGCAGATCTGGGCCGGGACAACCTGCAGGTAGTAGCCCAAAAATGCCGTCAAGAGGGCCGGGAAGGGGAAGCTGATCGGGGCCATCAGAGAGTCAAAATGCATCCCGATCCATTTTCCCTGATGGCGGTCTATTATATTCCCGAGCTGCCGGCTTGTGTTGAACTCCACCCGACCATTGAGCCTTGCAGCGATTTTGGCCGCTTCGCCTTTCGTTAGCTTGCTCATCTGCTGCTCTACGCTATCCCTGTTTAGGAATGCGAATCCATCGGCAGCCGGTGCAGCCGGAGCGGCCGGGTCCTCCTCGACCGGCTCCGGTGTGTTTTCCCGATCATCTGCCCGAGGTGCGGCTTGGGGGTAATCCCCAATAGTCCCGGTCGGCGTTTCCCGAACGCCATCCGACGGGGAACCTTGTCCGCTCGTTGTCGTCTGGCTGCTCCTGCTACTCGAGCTGCCCAATCCACTCGAGCTCGACGTTCCCTCTGAGCTAGATGACCTTCGTTGCTCGGGGATTTTCTGTGGTCGTTGAACGACCTCTGGCGAATAGGACATGATGTCCACCTCGTCGCTTATTTGCTCGACCGCATCATCATAATCCGCGATGGAGACGTTCTGACTATCTGAATCTGACATTGGGTCTACCTAAAGGCCAGTCGGGATTATGTTAGGGTTCGGGATATCCGGGTCGTGGTCAGCTAAGGCCTAGAGTTGGCTATGGAAAGAAAATGTGAAAGAAGCGAATAAAAAGCTAAAGAAGAAGGACTTACCGATTGATAGTACTTGACGGAGAAAGCTGAAAATTGATTGCTCGACCAGCTTACTGGAGTGTTCGCTCGGGATGCTCTGGATGTTCCGATCGACTCAGAAGATTGGTAAAAGTTCAAATGAACTCCATGAAGGCCTATTTATAGGAAGACTTTTGGGCGGGAAACGGCCCACTTGCGTGACGCGACCAGTCCAGACTCCGAGGTGACTGATAGGGTCGCAGAGGCCGACAGAGGTCAACACGTGGCGTGAGGGAATGACAGCTGGCCGGTCGGTTTGACGGCCGACGGTTGGACTTCTTCATCCCGTCCCTTTTTTCTCCCGGGCGGTCAAAAAGGCCCGGGCTGGGGGCTCTTGGTAGGGAATACCCCCACCGACATGCCTTCGTCTTTCTTTTCTTATTTACGCAGGTTACAGGTCGGATTCTCTTAGAAGAACCCGGTCGGTTGTCGACTGGGCATCACCCGACCGAAGCTCAAAATCCCGATCAATGGCCCTTAGGCGACGGAGCTGAGATAAGGCACGTGGCAGCGTTAGGCGTTGACAGGCAGGGCTTATGGGGAGAAGACACGTCATTGCTACGTGGGTGACATGCCGAACGGCCGGACTTGTGTTTCCGGCCCAGCGGCTATAAATACCCGCTGGTGCAACAGTGTGAGGGACTTTTGGACGATCGATAGGCTATTCTCAGAGCATCCCGACCGCAGTCAGTCGGCCCTCGAAATAGCCATTATAGATTGTACTTAGGACCTTCACCTTGATCAATAAAAGACTTTTAATTACTTTAATTGTTCTTGTGTTATTTTATTCACCGCTTACGTGAGAATTAACACTATCACGTATATTGCATAAGAATTATTCTTACCATCATATTTACGATTAAAAATTTACTCTGAAATTCCAAAAATTAGATAAGTTAGAAATCTAATTTTAAGTATGTAGTTCCAGTTTTGTCATTTTTAATTTATACAACTTAAATGAACCAATTCATAAATGATTCAATTGAATAAAAAAAAAATTAGACTATGGAATAATTAATTATGGTAATAGAAATAGTAGAAGAATATGACAGAACATGGAATAATTAATTATGGTAATACCTCATGGTCAAAATATTGCATAATGTAGCAGAATATAGAATAATTAATTATGGTAATATTATTATGGTACCTCATGGTCAAAATATTGCGTAATGTAACAGAATATAGACTAATTAATTATACGCATTGAACACTGATATACAATCGGGCACACTGTTCACCGTCACAATAGATGGTATCATTTTTCTATATTAATATTGCCTATTTCTTCATCTGTTGTAATGCTACAATTTAGGTTATATATTTTTTAATTAAAATACAATATATATATATATATATATATATATATATATATATATATATATATATATATATATATATATACTTTTAATCTCAAGTTAAATATGTTTTGATAAAAAAAATACAGTTCGTATGCGCAACACGTGTCCACCCTCCACTCAACGTTCTTTTAATATGTCAAATATGTCAACTTCAACGTCTTCATCACGCCAACCATTAGCTGATGTATCAAACGGTAATTTAGATTACACGGTTCACGATTTTTGTAATCTTGGTTATTCCTATTTTGTTTTCCTAACTTTTTAACATTATTACAACAATAATTAACAATTAATTATGCTTTTTAAAGTGCAAAGAGTAACACATCCTCATTCTAATTGTGTTTTGCGGTCAGTTGTGAGAACTTTCAATACAACATGGCCAAGAACAAATTCAAGGAATTTAAATACGGATTTTGAACAATGCGTATCTGAAAATAATAGATATGGTGAATTTTTTATGAACTCACAAATCTTAGTTATGTTCATTTTCATCAAACAACCAAACGTATGCGTTAATTATAAACTATTTATGTAATTAGATTTCTTATTTGGACCTTGGAGATGATGCTCATTCCTGTAATTATTGTGGTGCCTTATTCTGGCGACACGAGCGCTCAAATCAAAATGTTACACGAGGATTGCCAAAATACACAAAGTGTTGCTACGAGGGCAAGATACAATTACCTCGCATGAATGATCCTCCTCCTGTTCTCCAGAGTCTATACTTTGACGATAATGAACAAAGCAGACACTTCCTCAATAATATTAGAAGGTATAACAACATGTTCTGCTTCATGTCTCTGGGAGGTAGAGTCAATAGGTCAATCAACACCGATAACGCTCCGCCGATTTTTAGGATAAGTGGTCAAAATTATCATTGGATTGGAAGCTTGGTTCCAAGAGAATTTTGTATGCCAAAGTTTGCACAGCTATATATTTACGATACAGATAATGAGATTAACAATCGCATCAACTCTGTTACGTAAGTATCTAAATATAAATACGTTATACCTTTCGTCTCTCTTTCACCAACAATGACAACTATTATTTACTTACTCGTGTTTTTTTCATATGCAGAAGAGACATTAACTTAGAGGACATTAACTTTTGGTCAAATGTTTCAGAATGGCAAGAACTGAAATCCAGTCTAATCCAGGTGTTGAGGTTAAAATGAATTTAATAGGCAGGCGGAACAAAGATGGAAGGACATACAATTTGCCTACCGCTAATGAGGTGGCTGCACTTATTATCGGGGACCTAGATCCATCAATGGGTGATCTAGACATATTGATCGAGAGCATGACTGGACAGTTGAAGAGAATAAACCATTTGAACCCTACATATTTGCCGCTACAGTACCCTTTATTGTTCCCATATGGCGAAGATGGTTATCGTGAAGATATTACATTTTTTTATGCATGATGCCAAGGACATCATGGTGATAGGACACGAATTAGCCCTATAGAGTATTTCCCATTCTATATACATGAGAAGGTAAATGAGAAGCATACATTGTTGTATTCTAGGAGATTATTTCAACAATACTTGGTTGATGCAAATACAATGATCGAATATGCACGCTTGATCTACATTAGAACTCATCAGAAGTCGTTGTGGTGTGAAACTTATCAGGAGTTGAGCGATGCATTAACAAGGGGCGAATTAGATCCCACAGCTCGGGGTAAAAGAATTATACTACCATCATCATTCACAGGTGGAGCTAGGTATATGATTCAAAACTATCAAGATGCAATGGCAATATACAGGCACATCAGTTATCCACATCTGTTCAAAACATTCACATGCAACCCGATGAGAAGAGGAAATTCAAACTGTATTCATCTGATCAGATTACAATACTAAAGAGGTAGAGATTACATAAACTTCTCCTACATACTAGGCTAGTCTAAGTCAAAACAACTAGCACCACATAACTTAATCCCTATTACAATATAAGAAATAACATATTAAATAATAACATTATTCACACGCCCCCACAAGCTCAAGGTGGGTGAGCTACAACATTGAGCTTGTCCCGAAGAGTCGCGAAGCGTGGGCCCGGGAGAGGTTTGGTGAAAACATCTGCAACCTGATCTTTAGTGGATACGAAGCTGGCTATGAACTCACCGGAAGCGACCTTGTCACGAACAAAGTGAAAATCAATCTCTACGTGCTTCGTTCGAGCATGGAACATGGGATTAGCACATAGATAGGTGGCGCCAAGATTGTCACACCACAGAGTGGATGGTGCACCAGTATGAAGCCCTAGCTCACGAAGAAGTGAGACTATCCAAGTGACTTCCGCAGACACATCAGCTAGGGCTTTGTACTCAGCCTCAGTTGAGGATCGTGCGACTGTCCGCTGTTTCCTAGAAAGCCAGGATATAAGATTAGTCCCTAAATAGACCACATAACCACTGGTGCTCTTTCTATCAATGGGACAACCAGCCCAGTCCGAGTCAGAGTAGGCATGAATAGCCGAGGACGTAGATGGTGACAGACGCAAGCCATAGTCGAGGGTGCCTTTGACATAACGGAGGACCCGTTTGACTAAACCCCAGTGATCGTCTGTTGGAGCATGCATGAATTGACACAACCGGTTGACAGCAAAAGATAGATCCGGCCGAGTGATGGTGAGATACTGTAAGGCGCCGACAATGCGTCGATACTGAGTGGGATTATCATAAAGACTCGTAGTGACAGTGGATGAAGACTTGGAGACGGCTGCTGGCGTGCCAAGTGATTTACAGTCAACCATTCCTGCCCGAGTGAGAATATCCCCCATGTATCGCTTCTGTGAGAGAAAGACCCCACTATCGCGAATCACTATTTCTATGCCGAGGAAGAACCCTGGAGTACCAAGATCCCGGATCTTAAAAGCTGTCGAAAGTCGCTGTAACACTTGATCTATGAGTGCTGCATCAGTCCCCATCATGATGATGTCGTCAACATATACTAGCAAAAACACTCGAGATGACCCTGATGTATAGTGAAACAGGGATACACCTGTTTTCGACGACAGAAATCCTGCAGACAATAAAAAGTCATGTAGTCTCTTGAACCAAGCTCGGGGAGCTTATTTGAGACCGTATAGTGAGCGCTGGAGATGACAAACATAATCAGGATGTGTGGGGTCTTCGTACCCCGGAGGCTGCTTCATGTACACAGTCTCGGCTAAACGGCCATTGAGAAACGCATTGTGTACGTCCAGCTGGCGCAGGATCCAACCATTGGATACCGCTAGAGAAAATAATAACCGGACTGTGGTAGGCTTGACCACAGGGCTGAATGTGTCAAAGAAATCTTCACCAGCTACCTGGTTGAAACCTTTGGCTACTAAGCGAGCCTTGTAGCGTTCTATTGACCCGTCAGCAGTGCGTTTGGTACGAAAGACCCACTTGCACCCTATGATATTCATACCAGGCTGCGGTGGCACTAGCCGCCAGGTATTGTTATGCAACAGAGCATTAAACTCCTGATCCATGGCATCACGCCATTCCGAGTGCCCAACGGCCTGGGAATAACACGATGGATCAACGGTAGTTGTGAGGGCATGAAACTGCTCGTCCTTTCCCCGAGTCATAGTGCGAAGCCGCATAACATGAGTATGTCCCTCTGTCCCAGTAGGCCGCCGAGCTCGTTTTCTAGCCGGGGGAGCCGTAGTGGGCCCTTCAATGGCTCTAGGCACGAGTTCTGTGGGACCCGGCGTAGGATTCGATATGGGCGGTGCCATAGCTATAGGAACAGCCGGAGGCATAGGAGTAATCACGGGTCCAACTGCCCAAGGTACAGTAGTAGTGGACTATTTCTGGGAGTCCTGAACCTGCAAGTCTGCAAAGGGAAATGTAGCTTCGTCAAACCGGACATGGCGACAGATATATACTTTTCCACTAGTTAGGTCCAGACATCTGTAACCCCTAAAAGACGGAGGGTAACCTAGGAATACACACGGACTGGAGCGGTACTCAATCTTGTGCCTATTATAAGGCCGAAGATGAGGATAGCACCGACATCCGAAAACTCGAAGAAATGTGTATGGGGGTGACACTTTGTATAGACGAAAATATGGGCTTTCAAATTGTAAGGCCGATGAGGGTAGGTAATTAATAAGACACGTTGCTGTTTCAAACGCATAGTCCCAATACTGCATAGGGACCGACCCTTCGGCTAACAAGGCTAAACCGGTTTCGACTATGTGTCTGTTCCGGCGTTCAACTTTGCCGTTTTGCTCGTGCGTGTATGCACACGACTGTCTGTGATTAATCCCGAGGGTTTCAAAGGTTTTGTGTAACTTTTGATATTCTTTTCCTAAGTCAGATTGAATGGACTTGATAGAACGCTCAAATTGGCGTTCTACCATGACTCGGAACGACTCAAATATATTATAGATGTCTGATTTTACCCGTAAGGGATAAAACCAGCAGAAACGAGTACAATCATCAACGAAAAGCACAAAATATTTAAAACCAGTGCTTGAAAAAACTGGTGCCGGACCCCATATGTCCGTGAATATTAAATCTAATACATGTTTGCTAGAGTTGACTACTCTTTCTAATGGAAATCGTGAAGATTTGCCCAAATGACATGCTGCACACGGCTTCATTGACTCTATTTTATTGCTTGTGACAGGACACATTTTCAAGACTTTATGGAGAAGTTGACTGTGAGGATGGCCCAAACGACGATGCCACATCACCGGAGTTGTGCGGGAACTTAGAAACGCAAAATGAGAATTCTGTAGCGGAAGCTTGTATAGCCCTCCCGAAGCGGGCCCTTTAAGCAGGATTGCCTGAGTGGTCGAATCCTTCACAAAGAAACAGTGTTTATGAAACTCAAAAAAAACGTTATTCTCATTAGCGAATTTTTGGATAGATAATAATGGCACAGATAGACTAGGCACATGTAACACATCAGACAATTTTAATATTTTTGACACAGAAGGAATTGATGCGGACCCAACATGTGAAATAAGCAAACCTGAACCATTTCCTACACGAAGAACATCACCACCATTATATTCCGAGGACTGAGATAGCATGGATGAATCCGAGGTCGCGTGGGCAGACGCGCCGGTGTCCGGGAACCACGAACCAGCCGCGGACGCCGTTTCATCTCCGGTCACCGTCAAGTTGGTCTGCGGCGGTTGAGTGGTGTATCGTTTGTTGCAGTAGATAGCGGAATGACCATGAGCCCGACATATCTGGCAGCGAGGCTGTCCGCCACCACGTCCACCGCCGCGCCACTGGCCGCCGCGATTACCTCGCCCCTGGCCGGAATTGCCGCGGCGACCACCTGAGCGTCCTCCGGACTGGTTGCCGCCTCTGTTCACATGGAGTGCTGCCAGAGAGTTATTGGACGCACTGCCAAGACCAACCGGAATATCACCGGAGTAAATAAACTCCTGGGCCTGCAAAAAATCTGCTAATTGAGGGAGAGACACTGGTTTGCCGGAGGCGGTGAGGGAAGAGACCATGCTTCGGAATTCCGGACGGAGACCCCGGAACAAGCAGAGGTTCTGCTCGTCGAGGGAAAGTGGCCGGCCGGCGAGGGAGAGAGCCTCCACGATCAGCTGCGCCTTGCCGATGTAGTCCGCCGGAGAAAGATCACCTTGCCGCAATGACTGGAGCTGTCCGAGCAGGTTGAGGCAACGAGCCCTCGTGCTGGACCCAAGTGCGGCGGTGATCGAGTCCCACACCTCCTTCGACGTATTCCTGCCAACTGCTAGATGAAGAACCTCGTCAGCCATGGAGGATACGAGGAGAGACAGGATCGAGGCATCCTGCTTCACCCACGACCGGAACTCCGGATTCGGAGCAGGAACGGCGGGCACGGCGTCTCACCAGTGACGAACCCGAGGAGGTCTTGACCACGCAAAAATGGCACCAACTGCGTACGCCAAAAAAGGAAATTACGGGACGTAAGCTTGATCGACACAAAGTGGTGTGCCGACGAGAGGGGGTTGGAGGTGGTGGCCGAAGATGGGGCGGTGGTGGTTACGGTCCTTTCCGATGAGTTGGTAGACATTTTAGGGGGTGGGAGGGAAAAGAGGAGGATCTAACGTGAGGCTAACTGATACCAGATGAGAAGAGGAAATTCAAACTGTATTCATCTAATCAGATTACAATACTAAAGAGGTAGAGATTACATAAACTTCTCCTACATACTAGGCTAGTCTAAGTCAAAACAACTAGCACCACATAACTTAATCCCTATTACAATATAAGAAATAACATATTAAATAATAACATTATTCACAAACCCGAAGTGGCTTGAGATCGAGCGGTATGTTGCACAACGTGGCCTTAAAGCAGAGGATAGACCCGATATTGTTTGTCGCGTGTTTAAAATGAAACTTAATGCTATGATTGAAGAGATCAAAACAAAAAAGCTGTTTGGCAACATATGTGGAGGTATTTGATTATCATACATACTTTAATGTGCCATAATTACATCTAAATTCCATGTATAAAATTAATTTTTTTTTTTAAATTTTATGCTCAGTTATCTACACGATTGAAATTCAAAAAAGAGGACCCCCTCACGCGCATATACTACTACTATTTTTCAAAAGAATAGATCGCGCAAATTCTGCAGCCGAAATTGATGCCCTGATTTCTGCAGAAATTCCAAACCCAGATGCTGACACTGAGTACAGTGGCGCTGTAACACCCTACTTTTCTAAAACTAAATCCCAAAATACTTTAACTTTAAACAAGATAAAAAGTAAGATTAATTAACTTAAATCCAACCAAAACCAACAATTCGGGTGTCACCGCCACAGTCACCACTCATGGTGACTGCACAGGCTACAAAAGGGTAACTACTAGAGTCAAGCTCAATAAAAACAACATCAAAAACTACTTCAATACTTGGGGAACAAACCCCGGTGTCCTAGCACCATCAAAAGGATCAAACATCAGTATCTAAACATCAACATCCAAAACAAAATCTAAACTAGAATCTAACAATTCATATCTAGGCACTATACTATCTCGTGCGCGCTCAAACACTGGGCCCACCTGAAAGGGGTTATAGAAACAAGTAAAAAATAAACTCGTTAGCACGAATGCTAAGTATAAAGCCACTCAACCATGTAAAGTACTATAGATATATATTTGAAAATCATTTGACATTCTCACATAATCTCAATTACTTACAACACTTAATCACAATCTCAAAATCATGCTCATAAACAACTCTATATGCTTGCAACCTATT